AGCGTTACACACCAGCTATAGATGTCTGGAGCTGTGGGTAAGCCAGTGACACTTTCATGTTTTGATTTTTGATGTTAGCTTGTGGCTGCTATCTTCAGTCGCTCATACCTCAAATTTTAAGCATAGTGTGGTTGAAATGGCATTTGCTTTTGATCCACCTTAAGTATGATAAATATCATTTTTTACTGTTTTCTTTGGGACAGTAGCCACAAGCACATGCAAGAGCTCATTTCTTAAAAAAAGAACCTTTAGGTTTAAGATACTCTACTGTTCTTTTTTATAAATGTGAACCGAAATATTACTACTGTTCATGGCAATAATTTTCTTCAGAAATGATGAAGACCTAACTATTCCACAAGGCAATGGGAAAATGCTGCTCTGTAAAAGTAGATAAACTCCTTTGCATGCACCTTTCATTGGCAATTTGCTGGTTATCTAATAAGATCCCTAGGCAGCCAAGAGAAGCTTGCCATCCCTCCCTCCCCTCCCAAGTACTCCAATTTATGCTATTGGTGTTTTAGCTTGTTCTGTTTTCTTCCTAGTTGCATCCTTGGGGAACTGTTTACAAAGAAACCTATTTTTCAAGCTAATCTTGAGTTGTCCCAGCTTGAATTAATCAGGTAAAGCGTTATATGAATGATAGAAAGGAGATTGGGCACAGAAAGTAGTTTGTGTATTCTGCCTTGGCTGTGCCAGCAGTTGTCATTTTTTCTAGAATTGCAAGCAATTATATTAGGTCCAGATCAGATCTATGAACAATATGTACCAGCTGGTTGCTCATGTTAGAAATGTACATAGATGCCAGGAAAATGCTTTTCTTGAGTTTTTTTTAACATACATAACTGTATCTTATATTAGGAGTCTCTATCTCCAGCCTGGTAATCCACTCTTCAGGAGACAGGAATCCAGAATTCTGTATATGCAGCTTATTTCTACCTGTGATTTTGAATTGTGATTCTAATGGTGCTGTTAGATGGCTAGAAACTAGCATTTAGGCTCCCTTTAAATACCATACAAAGTTGGGAAAGAGGCCAGGGCAGAAAAGAATAGTTATGTGGCTTATTTAGCTGGTCAAGATCTTCTATTCCTTGGGGGAAAAGTACAGTTTCGTCAGCTGCAAAGTCTTCTCTAGAGCATCATTTTCTGTTCAAGTAACTTAATCCTTGTTAGGAATCTTTCTAAAATCTGAAATTCATTGCCTGGGCCCAGAGTCACCTTATTGGTGAGATGGACAGCATTTGAGTTAAATAAATAAATACATTTTTATTCATCTACAAGCATTTCCTTTAGCTAATGTTAATCATGGTTCACCCCACCCTTCCTGGCAGAGGGGGCATACTGTGGATCTAATCAGCCAAGGAATTTCAGCTGACAGGATCTAGGAGAAGAACCACCTTTGCTGTGGCTCCTGTCCTCTGGATGTTTCAAAAGAGCTTCAAGACCTGGCCCTGCCAAATGGTTTGAAAATCCAGTGGGGGAGCTCCATACTGGAGACGGTTCAGTAGTTAAAACTCAATGCTACCTCCCTCCCCCGATGTCTTTGGCTCCCTTCTTTGCCACATTGCCTCATTGATTTTATCTGTGAAATCTTTTTATTTGCTGTGTTTTTATAATGGATGATTTTACAGTTTTTTTTAATGTTTTTTATGTTGTAAGCCACCCAGAATTGTTGGATATGAGATGGGTGGCAAATAAATGTAATCAATCATCTTTGTGCTTGTCAGATTGTTCAATTTGCTATTATATATGAATGGGGACTCATTTCTGTGATGCTTTAAATATCACAAAAAAAGTGGGCGGGGGGGCTTCTTCATATGTCTTCTGCATTTAGAGATGACTAATGGAAATTTCACTCTTGCTGCCCAAATTCTATTTCATTTTATTTTCCCTGATGCTCTTTTTACTTCAGTTTTAAAGGCCATGCTAATAGCTATTTATGAATCCTTTGAGATATTTAAAATAAAATTTGAGTTTAAGTAGACAGAATTCAAAATCATTTATATATACTCTTTCTGAATTTCCTCTTTAATAATTAGGAGGGAGGGAGGGTGGGAGGGAGAGAGAGAAATGGAGGGGGAGAGACCCAGACACAAAATCAGCCAGCTGGCTTTCATGCCTAAGAGAACCTAGATCTTGTGATCTCCTAATTTCTAGGCTAGCACATTAACCACTATGCCAAAGGATAGTGGTTTCTATACTGTACCATATCAACAAATGGGGGAAAGGTGATGCATAAATGTTGATACTGTGATATTTGGAGTTATAGTTGGATGAGCACAGAACTGAGTGACTTCAAGTGTTATGTTTATTGAGAGATTCAAAACTGTGTTTACATTACCTTGCAGCCGTCTTTGTGGGAGCCCGTGTCCAGCTGCATGGCCAGATGTCATCAAACTTCCCTACTTCAACACCATGAAACCTAAGAAGCAATATCGTAGGCGCCTGCGGGAGGAGTTTTCTTTGTAAGTTGATATACTGTTTTTTGGATGAGAGCTAGCATTGTCTGCAATACGTCTTCATGTTTAATATAACACTATAAAGCGCAATATCTATTTTTTTATTTCCATATGCTATCTCTGAATATGAGATAATGTAGTGGTGCAGAGGCTCACCACTTGTTTTCCTAAAAAAGCTTGCTCAGGTTCCTCCCTTTCAAAAAAACAGGTTGAGATAGATTTTTAGGAAGTAACTTAAAAAAAACCCACAATGATTTTATAATAAATTTAATTTCAATTTAATTTTTATAAATAATTCAAAGTGTCAAACATACCTAATATTCCTCCTCCTTTCTTATTCCACTTCAACAACCCTGTGAAGTGGGTTGGCCTGATAAAGACTGACTAGCCTAAAGTCATCCAGCCAGCTTTCATGCCTAAGGCTGGACTAAAACTCACAGTCTCCCAGTTTCTAGACCAGTTTTTGGGGTTGGAAAAGAGAGATGGATTAATTTGTTGACATATCATGTATGCTTACTGCAGTTGTAGATAATTTTATTTGGCCCAGTGTGTATTGTTAATTGTATTGAGACATCTGTGAACTTCCAGGGCCTAAAGCCACAGACTTTGGTGGAGTCTAGATGAGAATTAGGAGAGGACATGGAGACATTTAACTGTTTCTGCTCTTAACTGCATTCAGTAGTGTCCAATAAGTGTCTTGGATAAAGGGGGAGGAGTGATTACTTACTTCCAGTTCAAGGGAAAAAATACAAATTGTTTTTCTTTTTCCCCCCCATAGCATACTTGAGAACACTTTGCGCTCAAAGCATCCATTCTTAGGCAATTCATGGTTGGGAAATTAGATGAATTTAAAATATACTACAAGGTCTCATTTCAGGGACTGGGACTTCTAGAACTTTGTTATTAGTACTGGTTTTTTTAATTATAAATAATTGGTACTGATATTACTGTTTATTCATTGCATTTGTGTCTTAGTTGAATGGAGAAAGCATATGGATATGAGTAAATGTAAATTTTGTTGCCAAATTTCCAAATCATATTCTCTTTTGTCAGCACTTAGATTACCGGTATACATTCATTTGAATTACTATATATGCCATAGCCATGTACATCTGAGGGAAATGAATGGAGCATAATCATCTGGTTAGTCAGCAAAGAGCATTAGATCCATGTCCTGAAACAGTAGGCTTTAAGCAGGAAAGAAATGAGGAAATCCATACACGTGGGTTCAATTTTCAGTGATTTAATTCCAACACTGCCGATACCCTTTTAAGATTATCCTATCCTTTCTTCTGTGGCTGGTATATTGGATTGATTTTTAAATGAACATATGGAGATGACTAATATGAAATCAAATTTGGCCATGTAATCCAGAAACATCTGCTTTGACTAGTATCAGTTCTACAGACAAACACTTCACAATTGATAATGATTAACACATGGGTTTGAAGCACAAATTACCAGAAACATGTATTTTCAAGTATCAAATTGCAATGCAGATAGTCCTTGATTTACAACAATTCATTTAATGACCATTCAAAGTTACAACAGCACTGGAAAAAGTAACGTATTACCATTTTTCACATTCACAACTATTGCAGCATCCCCATGTTCATGTGATTAAAATCCAGACGTTTGGCAACTGACTCACATTTATGATGTTTGCAATGTTCTGGGGATCATGTGATAACCTTTTGCGACCTTCTGACAAGCAAAATCAGTGTGGAAGCCAGATTCACTTAACAACTGTGGCAACAAAGATCATAAACTGGGATGAAACTCACTTAACAACTGTCTCACTTAGCAACAGAATTGTTGGGCTCAGTTATCATAAGTCAAGGACTACCTGTATGAAAGACAGATGTGTATCCATGTTCAATGAATAAGTTCTTTTCCAAATGCTTGACACCAAATGGCTCATTCTGACCCACCTTTTATGGAGTGCTGCCCTCTAAAAATACAGTTCTACAAGTGTCAGTTGAATTTCCTGGCAAAAGCATAATGCAAACAAGGGCTATGTTGGTGTTCCAGGGGTTCCCTGAAGTATATTTTGGAAACTGATATTGAAGTTTTATTCATAGTTGGAGAGGGCCTTGGAGGCACAAAATACATAGTTGTATGCTATAGATTGGCCTTGCCTGATAAAAACTTAAAAAAACAGGTTGTCTTAAATATTTGAAAATTATATCAAGTAATTTGACTTCTGAAATTTTATAGTGTCATATTTGAACATTTAAAATTTGTAATCTTAAATTAATTTAAATATTTTAATGTTGATTTTATATGCTGTTTATATATTAATTACATTGTACACTAAGTAGGTCCATTCCATGAATGAATGAATGAATGAATGAATGAATGAATAAATAACATTGCTGATTATTGTGGCAACTCTGGCCTCTCCTCCCCATATTTTTTTCATCTTCTAGCATTCCTACTACTGCCCTTGACTTGCTAGACCATATGCTAACACTGGACCCCAATAAGCGATGTACAGCAGAGCAAACATTGCAGAGTGACTTCCTAAAGGATGTTGATATCAGCAAGATGGATCCTCCAGAGTAAGTATCCTGCTAAAGGAAGAAAAACCCTCCCTTGGTTTACAAACTAGTTCAAATTTGGAGGATAGCTTAGAATTATCTGCCTTGTACTTCAGTCCCAATCTCTGCTTTTTCTTTGAACATGCGAAGATGCTCCTGGCCATTCGCTTTATTCCTGTGATATGTATGCACATAGCCACATCTCTCTCTCTCTCTCTCTCTCTCTCTCTCTCTCTCTCTCTCTCTC